AGTACAGTATCTGATGTTATCAAATTAAAACTCAGCTAACAACTCCCTACTTACTATGGCAAATGATTGGCTACACGTGCCGCTTTTAAGCACGTGTTCATTTGCTAAATTACCGTTATTCGCTAATTTTTGTCTAATAATGTATACTTAGAAGAAAATTTTTTTTTTTATTATATGTTTATATTACTTTATAGACAATTATTTCAGAGTATTGTTATAGGTAGTGTAATTTAAGCCTTCTTGTATACTAACTATAACAGGAACACAGCTATTTAGAGACTTTAAGAAGCAGTATTAAAGAAGAAAGTATAATTCTTGTATCATTAAAGAACTATACTCATCTCTAAAGAGTTGTAGTTCATTTATAATTATTATAATTAATATATTTATTAAAGATAGATATATTTAGAATAAGATACATGAATAGTTATGCTCTATAACTATAGAGAAGAGGATTTGGACTTTATCTATTATTAAGGAAGAGGATTTGAGAAAATCTAACTGAACTACTAATTGATTATTAAACTTGAGAGAAAATTACTTATATTTATGGAGATAGATTGATGGATGTAAATAACGACCTCGAATTGATAAAAGATGTTTATATGCAAGCAGATATGATGGGATTGACAGAATTAGTGAAATTAGTAGTTAATTATATGTGTGGAATGGTAAATGAATTGAATTTTGAAGAAATATTAGTATTTTGTTGGGACAAAGAGCATTGTAAATCGCTGAAGGAATCAGCCTTAAATTTTGTGAGTGCTTATGTTAAATCGGTTAAATTAAGCAAAAACACGGAATATATTAAGAAATCAGTAAACAATGAAGTCGTTACTTATAGCAAAATATGGGAGAAAGAAACTGAGTAAAGAGGGTGTTACACATTTTTTTGTAACTGGTACAAATACGCTTAATTTCCCTGACTCAATCTTACAGTATATTCGGCAAACATTTGAGTTATATTAATAATTAAATTGATTATAAACACCAATTCCCACTAATTTCTTTATATACCCTGAATGCGTTAATATTATTTTGTAAAATAGTTCGATATACAGTATTACGTATTCACGAGCAGCCACATCAAGACGATAATTCAGAATTTGGATACGAAATACTTTTTTACTGAAAATAATAAAATTTAATACACTCAAGTTTGAAATATATCAAGAATTTCTTACCAACTTTCTTAAACGATTAATAAAAGAGAGAATTTTCTATTTGGATAAATTTGACATATTTTACATGATCCAAAATTATCCAAAAATGCTTTATATTTTTGATAAATAAATGTACGATATATCAGGGTTGTAATTTTTCGCTCCATTGTAATTTTAATATTAAACTTATAAACTTACTAACATATAACAGTTTAGTATTTTAATCTAATATGTTTAAAAGTTATTTAGAAAGAAATGATTTTTATACGTAAGAAAAAAATGATCCATTTTGCCGACACCGAGTATTATGATACAAACGTTAAGCCATTAATTATAAAGAATTGTGTTGGAAATAAAACACAATAATAAATAAAAATCATATATATTATATTGGTTTTGCACAAAGGTTATCACTCTAAACTATCTTTAAAACTAGTAATATATTTGAGAAAATAAAACAGAAAATATCCATATTTATTTAGTAAAATATATTATATGTTCACATTTTAATACAAATTCTTATAATAATCAACACTTATTAATATACGGCTTCAACTTATTTAAAGCTTTAACAGCAAGTTCCAAAGTTTCATTACTCTTGCAAAATGCGAACCTTACAAAATCTTCTATAAGATATTTATGCTCTTGTGAATAATATTCACTTGGTGGTGTTGCTATAATACCGATTTCCTTAGCCAACCAATAACAAACCTTAAAATCTCTTGGTCGGTCAATAATATCTTCGGGAAATTCGTAATCTTGAGGTATTTGAATCTTTGAAGTGTTGGCCAATATGAAATAACTTCCTTGGGGAATTGTATATGGTAAGCCAATGGATGATAATGCAGACATGAGCTTTTCGCGTTTCGATGAATATACAGAAATTAGGTTATCGAAATATTCTTTTTGGTTAATTTCTTCCAATAGAATTGCTATTGCTTCCTGTTTATTATAATGATATTACATTTTACGTTACCAATGTAACGTCCAAATATAAAATAAAATCCAAAATATATAAGATCAAACCT